ATCCAGGTTGGCCAGTGGGAAGAGCTTGGGCTTCTTCTCGGTGGCTCCTGAGTGTGGTCACTCGGGACAAGTGACTCTTGTCAGAGGTGAGAGCGGGGCCGGCCGCTTTCATGCCCCCTGAGCCCCAGTCTCCTTGTCTGTAAAATGGGAGAAGCGCCTGTCTCACAGGGTCATGTAGACACGGAACCACGTGCAGAAAGCCCGGTGCACAGTGGGCTCCCAGTGAACGTTCCGGACTCGGACTCGGAGTGGGTGCCCGGGATGGCAGGAAGGTCGGCACCGGGAGCCGGAAGGAAAACGCTGGGCCCTGCCCTGGACCTACCTGTAAACTTCAGACCACACGGAAAGGCGCTCACACCTGACCGGCCTTCCGAGCCCAGCTCCCAGAGGCCACCGCTAGGTGTGCTTCAGGGCTCACCTCTGACGCTTTCCTCCACGCACAGGAAATGGGTCCACGCATTCACAAGGCTTCTCACCGAAGCAAACACGGACCCCACTGGACATGTCGATCTGCACCTGGGTGTTCTCGACTCGACTGGAGACATCCTCACAACCGTCCCTTCTTTTACACTTGGTGTGACCGGGACGAACATCAAGCCCCCTCGACCGGAACCCTGGCCCCGCCACTTCCGGACCCCTCGGCAGGTGCCTTCCCCCCTTGACCCTAGGAAATCACAGTACTTATCACACGGCGCTGTGGGAGGCAGAGAGGAGGCCGGGGATGGACCGGCCTAGAACGTGGAACCGCGTCCCAGGCACTAACTGTTGTTACCGTCACCTTGGGCCGTAGCGTGGATACCTCCGTATTTAACCACTTCCTTTTTGGGGAATGTGAGGTGGGCTCCAATCTCTAACTATGACCAACCACATCCTCGCACATCCCCACACCCGTGTGCAGGACAGAGTGACGTTTTGTGTCAACTGGTCTTCAAACTACCTTCAGGGGAACCCCAGGGCTCCACGGCGATTTCAGAACGCCACATTGGACAGTCTCTTCCGCCAAAGGAAGGCTGGAGCTTCCTGAGAGGTTTGTGCCTCGTGTTAGCGTCTTGTGCATCATTGTTTGGCAGAACGTTTCCTCTGGGGATAAAGAGAGTTTGTTACTAAATACACCGCCCGCCCCCCCGGTGTATTATCAGGAGCCGGGGGCCGTGCCAGGAGCCCCTGGGATTCTGGAAAGAAGGGATGGAACTTTATGTAGACTGTTTTCTCCTAAACACACATAGCTACAGTAAGTTTAATCTGTAAATTTGGCACAGAGGTGAACAACGGGACCGATAATAAAACAGAAAACCGGAACGTCGTCGTCAAAGTAACGACGGCCTTACCGCACTATCCTCACTCTGGCGATGACGTGAGGTGATAAAACGCCCAGGCGATGAGGTGAAGCGGGATGAGTGACCGAGCCTTAGGCCATCAGTGACCCGGTAGCACGTGAGAAGCGGGATCGTCCGCTGCCCGACTGCGGTTGACCGCCAGCTGCTGGAACTGCAGGCAGAGAAACCGTGGGTCAGGGGACCTCTGTGTGACCGAAAGTCGCCGGTGGCTCAGCCTGGAGAGAACACTGACAGCGTTATAAAATGTTCCAGAGTCGTCTCAATCCCACATTCCCTGGCCACGCCCCGGGACCCACGGGAGCTACCTTTCGCCGAGGGAGTGCATCCCTTCCCCAGGCCGGATTGGTGACATCCGTGCTGGCGGGAGCATTGCACCCTGGCCATGGCAGACACGGCCCACGCGGGCCCTTCGGGGCAGCGTTAACGCCTGCCAGCGCACCGCGGCAAGTTCTCAGACACGTGAGCTGGCACCTGTGGCTCGTGCATCCGCGAGGCTTCCCGGATTTGGCTCAGCCGGGCGGCGGGAAGGGTCCAGATCCGTTCGGTGCGTCCTTCCTGGCACTGAGGCTGGTGCTTGACCCACGGCGGGAGGGTTGAGTCAGCGAGAAGAAGATACCGCATTACTTTTATCACTTCCGCCGCAAAGACCAGACTTACTTTGCTGCGCGGCCCTCGCCCTGGAGGCACACGGCCGCCAGGAACAGGCCCTGGGAGCCCGTTCAGGATCTAAGCAGCCTCACCTCATGGTGCGCGGTCATGAGCAACGCCCTTTCACTGGGGACAGAGACTGCGTGCACGTGGTTGGCAGCCCTGTGTGCAAATGTAACACGTTGGGGGGGGGGGGGCACGGACTTCCTGTGACCCCTGTGGGCTGGAGCCCCAGGGTGGGGGTGGGGGCACGGACTTCCCGTGACCACACCGTGACGATGACCGAGGATCCAAAGCAGATCAATGCCACGCGGGAAAGCCAGTTTTGGGGGAGGGTTCAGGGAGGAGATGAAGCGAAGGCCCCACGTGCAGGGCCGGGGTTGGGCTGCTGGGCATCTGGTGGCCCCCGGGCTCCGCGTTGGGCCGGTTTCCAGAGACCTGGCTCCTCTGGGGCCCCGTTTGTGACGAGGCCACTGCCCTGAGGCACCAATCACTCCAGTGCATCAGTGGAGGCCTTCTCTTACTTCTCTCTACCCCAGGGCACCCCCTCTGGAAGGGCCCCGTCTCTGTGCCGGGGGGCACCCGGCAGTCCCCCATCAACATCCGCTGCAGGGACAGCATCTACGACCCGCGGCTGAAGCCTCTCATGGTCTCCTACGCCGCAGAGAGCTGCCTCTACGTCTGGAACACCGGCTACTTCTTCCAGGTGGAGTTCGACGACTCCACTGAGGGGTCAGGTGAGCCGGGGCCGGGGCCTGTCACAGCCAGGCTACGGGGTGGGCGGAGAAGGGGACCGGGGCTTTGCTGACGCGTGGTGTTTGGGGGCAAAGAACAGAGGCATCTCAGCGTTGCAGGGCAGGGAGGTGACGCTCGCTTTAAGGATTATGACGCCCACGCCCGACCCTTGCACGGCTTTACTGCACATCCTGGGGGCCGGTCGGGAAGAAACGATGTGCCAAGAGAAACGCACATGTACGGCAGGTCACAGAGGAGAGCGGAGCAGGTAGGGGAGAGAGGCGCGGTGGGGGCGGGGCCCTCAGGCGGAGGCAGAATGAAATTGTACCAAGGCCGGGGCAGGCCATCCAGAGCCGGGCCCCTCGCTGGTCCCTGCCCAGAGGACGCCCAGCGGCTGTGAGGCACAGGGGGTGGAGCAGGGACTCCGTGAGGTCTGGGACGCTGCCTTCCACCCCTGCTTTCCGTCGGGACTGCTGCAGGATTCCGTCTGGCCTTCCTTCAGCACCTGCCGGTATCGTCATAAACCCTGTTTATGCCGCACGCCCGTCTTCCTTCTGGGAGCGGGGGTTGTCGCGCGGACGGGCAGAGGGTGCTACGCGGCCAGCCCCCAGTGGAAACCTTAGGCAGCAGGCCTCTCCTCGGCTTCCCTGGTGGACGTGACTTCACACGTGTTGTCACGGCTCAATGCTGGGGGGACTCGGTGTGTCCCGTGTGACTCCACGAGAGAGGGCTCTGGAGGCCGGCGCCTGGTTTCCTCCAGACGGCGCGGTCTACAGAACGTGCTTGCGTCGTTTCGCTGTAATAAATCTTAGCCACGCGTACGGCTCTACGCTGAGTCTTGGGAGTGCTCGAATCTGGGGACCCCCTGCCCAGGTCCCTCGTGGGCCAGCCCTCAGCCCATCCCCTTCCACGCACCCGGTCATCTTACTTCCCCATCATCGCCCTGCGAGGACGCCAGCCCCGGGAGGGCAGGACCTCTAGTTTATGCTGAGCGTCGCAGGTGCTCAGTAAACTGATGGATGAACCTCGAATGAGGAGTTAAGGGAGCAAAGGAGCCTCAATTCTCCCCTCGGGAGTAGGGAGCAGGGCGCCCGCCTCAAAGGCTGTTGGAGGGAGAAACGAGGCCTCCGCAGGGAAGCCGTCAGCGGCTCACGGCGTCGCACGGACCAGCTCCCGAAGCAGGCTGCTGCCACCTGCCCTGGCTGCTGACCTGAGTCCGCCTTCCTGGGTCACCGGCAGCAGGACGCCGGAGCGGGAGCTTGCTCGCGGCCTGGCCCTCGCGCAGTGCGTGCGGAGCCTTCGTTAGAGCCGAGCGCCGGCCCTAGACTGTCAGTCTGCTCCCGCCGTCGCCGGGAGGTGTCAGCCCTGCGTCCTGGCTCTGTCCTGACGCTGATTCTGTGTCGCCCGGCCTGGAAGTGTGCGGGCAGCCGCAGCCCCCACTCCGGGCGCCCTGAGCCACGTGCAGCCCATGTGCCGGCCTCCCGGGGGCCCCGGGAGAGGGTCTGGATGGTGAGCGGAGGCCCAGCCTCGACCGGCCTGCCTCCGATGGACGGAGCGGCTGCGGGGTGGGGGCTTCTCCAGGTCGGTCCTCACCGTGACCCTCGGGCACGCCTCTCACATGGCGTTCGCTGAGGCCGGCAAGGCGGGGCGGGGCTCCCCCCCCCCCCCCCCGAGGAGCAAAACGCCAACTCTGGCCAAGGCACGCACAGAGGAACTTCTGGGAAGGACGAGACGGGCTCAAAGGAGAGAAGGGGAAGCTGTGTTCTCAGACCCTGGAAAGCACCGGAGCTGCCCGGCACAGCGATGTGTGTGCTCACCTACTCAGCGGGCCGCCTTCTGTGCCCTCGCTGGTCTCTTCCAAGTGCGGATTCCCAAGGAACAAGTAAAATTGAACTTCCAGGTTCAATGTGGTTGTACCATTTTAAAAATTTTTTGTGCAGCAACTTTATTGCTTTTGTTTTTTTAAAACACATTTTTTAATGTTTATCTTTGAGAGACAGAGACAGAGCGCGAGCAGGGGAGGGGCAGAGAGAGAAGAAGACACAGGATCCAAAGCAGGCTCCAGGCTCCGAGCTGTCGGCACAGAGCCCGACGCGGGGCTCGAACCCGTCAACTGTGAGATCGTGACCTGAGCTGAAGTCGGACGCTAAACCGACGGAGCCACCCAACTGCCCCGATTTATTTTGAAGTAAACTCTACCCACAATGTGGAGCTTGAACTCACGACTCCAAGATCAAGAGCCTCATGCTCTACTGACCGAGACAGCCAGGTGCCCCTTATGCAGCAAGTTGAAAAGACTGAACAAAGAATAATAGTTCCTGAACTTTCCGTTGCTTGGTTATTAGTTATGTGAATGTAGTAATAATTTTGAGAAAAACAGATATGGTTGTGGAAGAGTTCTTCTAGAATTCATACTCCTCCCGTGTAATTATTATGTGCAGTTATGGTTTATCTACATAGGTTTATTTTCCTTTCAGTCATAAAATACAAAAAGCTTCGAAGGTCACTTAGGACTCCTGCCTGTGTATTGTTAGGATACATTTGACAAAAATTGTTCAGATTCCCAGGGGAAAGGGTGTGGTGGCTGAGCGTGGCACCTCGTCAGTGGCTGGTCAGTGGAGCACCTGTAACGCCGAGTGATAGCCTCACCGAGACCACATGCTCCGGGAAGCAGTGGTCCCAGGGTAAATTGCAATGCTTTTTCTAGAAGGTGGAAGCTTTGCCGCACAGACAAGTGAACATCCTCTTTCAAAAGTACCTCCAGGGGCGCCTGGGTGGCTCAGTCGTTAAGCGTCCGACTTCGGCTCAGGTCACGATCTTGCGGTCCGTGGGTTCGAGCCCCGCATCGGGCTCTGGCCTCATGGCTCAGAGCCTGGAGCCTGCTTCCGATTCTGTGTCTCCCTCTCTCTCTGTCCCTCCCCCGTTCATGCTCTGTCTCTCTCTGTCTCAAAAATAAAAACGTTAAAAAAAAAAAAAAAAGTACCTCCGTCCAATGGATAACAGCATGGCCCTAAGCAGACACCACAGCGGACAGCGTCTGCCTCCTCATTCTCCTCAAGGACAGAGGCCCAGAGACGTGGCTCATTCAAGGTCGAGCGCGGCAAGTGGAGGGTCAGGTTCAAACCCAGTTCCTGCTGCTTGGAAAGCCCACTGGAGTCACCACATCCGCTGTTTGCTGGACCCTTCTCCTCGGCAACGCTTTGCTTACAGAAACTTGAGTACTCCTGAGGATTGCTGAGATGGGTCTTGGCTCCCATTTGACAGATAAGAAAAATGAGGCACAGAGATGTCCATGGCCAGAAGTCACAGAGCCCGCACGACAGGATTCTGTGCTCTCCAGAGCAGGGAACTTCACAAGCGTGACCTCTCTCTGGGAAAAATCTGCACCCAACATCCACAGAGGTCGGGCGTGAAGCCAAGGCGCTGACCCCACATGGCACATGGGGAGAAGGTCCTGGGCTCGTGGTCAGGTCCCCAGAGAGCCAGCAGCTGCTCAGGGTGCCGGCCAAGCCCACGCCCGACTGCCCTGACAGGTGGAGCGGGGACGTCTCTGTGATGCTTCCAGGGTGAGGTTGTTGCCGTTATTTCTGTATGGGAGTCTTAACAGCACCTGTGACTTGGGCTCTAGATGTTTCTGAACCCCACGGGAGCTCAGGCTCAGGTTCGAGGCTGGAGAACTAGGCTATCACTGGTCGTAATTATCCCCAGAGTCACAGCTCAAGGCCTCCTCTTGGTCAAGAATTTCAGTCTCTGGAATTTTTACCCCAAGAGTAACTCAGAATTGGGCACGGCCAGCCCCGGCAGCCTCTCTCTGCTTCCGGGATCTGTCCCGGGGCGGGCGTGCGACCCCAGTCAGACCGCTGAGCGCCAGAGCTCCCCTGGGAGGCGTTGGAAGAGAATCCCTTCCCGCCTGTGTTGTGCGGGGGCAGCTGGGAGCCGGGCCCGCCGGTCTTCAGGGGAGAGCAAAGCCAAGAGGGGCGAGGAAACTTGAGGCCTGAGGCCCTTGTCGGAGCCTCTAAATGCAGCCGTGCCTGAGGCCAAAGCAGCCCCCGGACCAATAGATCTCTCTTTTTGCTTAAGTCAGTTTGAGTAATGATAATTCCGCCCCTTGTTTCCCAGAGCCCTAATACAGAAGACCAAAAAAAGTGACCGAGTTGAGAGAGCAGAAACGGAAGGGAGTCACCTGGGAACCGGCCGCCTCCCTCGTTTTGCTTTCTGCTCAAATGCGATGCGGGGGCAGCCTGGGTCCCTGAGGCCCAGGGCCGGGGGGACGCTGCACTTGACCCACAGAGGTGGGCAGTCAGAGCACGGGGTCTGGAGACCCCGGGTGGGTCCTCGGGGAAGCCGAGCCCAGGCGAGCCTGGCCAGCAGCGTGCTGGCAAGGGTTTGGCACCTGGCCCTCTAGGGCTTGGGGGAGGGACCGGAAGCCATTGACAGCTTTGCCCGCTTGCCCTGGTGTAAATACTCCACTGAGGCACGGCCGGCCTCAGTCTCCAACAGTCACTGATCCCAGGCGGGAGCAGAACTCGGCCATCTCCCAGGGCCCAGTTCCAGTCGGTCCCACGTGTCACTGTCCCAGGCCCTCCCCCCGCCACAGTCCCTGCTGCCTCTGAGCTCTCGTGGGCTCTCCAAACGAGGCCTCGTCTGTACCGGCTAAGACCGTTGCACGTGGCAGAGACTCAACTCAACTCGGACTGGCCGAAGCGAACAAGGGGAAACGTATCGGCTCAGATCCTGAAAAGTCCGGGGCGTGGCCGAGTCAGGTGGCAGACGTCCCACAGAAGGAATGGAAAGAATGGAACGGAAGGTGGAAGGAAGCTGAATCCTCCCTGGGGCCCCTGCTCCGCTCTGGTGGGGTCATCCCGGGCCAGAGACGCACCTGCCGCTCTGGTTCCCCCTCCGGATTGAGCGGTTTGGAGCGACAGCGCCCCTGCCCCGGCGATCACAGCTCAGGCCTGGGCCGCTGATCCTCAAAGCCCCGCGTGGCGGTTGGAGCGCAACG